GACATGATAGCAAAGAAGAAAGCATCCATTTGGCGTTTGGAGGTCGGTTATTTTCCTTGTGTATGAATCACAGAATCCATGGAGTCAGGCCGGGGGGGGGGGGACGTCGCAAAACATGGGCGCGGCGTTGGGCTGCCCACACGCCAGGACACACGGGGCATTTACTTTGCTGTATGCGTTATTGCCATTGTTTTGTGCTTTTGTCGTCATGCCGTGCTTGCCGTTGCTTGTCCGTGCCGGACTATAGAGGCCGACCTCTGGAGCATGTGACATTTTCATGCCCCCTTCTCGGAATGAGTGCATGTCGAGCTGTTCAACCGAGATGGCAACATGTTGATGATTCCATGTTGACTCGTAGATTTCGCAAATGACTACATAGTATTGGACGGGCCCATGACCTGCCAAAGCAAAATAACATGAGGCAGTGACAAGAAAGCAGTGACAAGAAACAAACAGAATGCTTCCCTCTACTTGTAAAGCAACGCCTCCACCCGCTCAGCAATGGCCAGACAGCTCGTCAATCCGGGGCTCTCGATACCCAGCAGGCTCACGAGCCCCTCGAAGCCGTCCTCCTTGCGGACGACGAAGTCGTGGAAGGCGCCCGTGGGCAGCAGCTTCGGCCGAATGCCAGCATAGTCGGGGGCCAGCGCGTCGGCGTCGAGGCCCGGCAGGTACTCGCGGATGGCCTGGACGGCCTCGTCGAGCCGCGCCGGGTTGGGCGCCACGTCGCTCGGGTCGTCGACCCACTCGACGTCGGGCCCGAAGCGGATGCGCCCGCCGAGGTCGAGCGTCAGGTGCGTGCCGAGACCGCCGACGCCGGGCTCGGGGGCCGGGTAGATGAGGCGGTTCACGTTGAGGCTGCTGCCACTACTGCCAGAGTAGGCGAAATAGTTGCCCTTGGCGTAGAACATGGCCATCTGTCGCTCGGCCGGCACGATCATGTTGTGGACGTCGACGGCGCCGAGGCCCGCCGCGTTGACGACAACGTCGGCCGTGACGGTGCTCGACTCGCCCGTCGCCGCGTCGACGACGGTCACGGCCCAGCCGCCGGCGCCGGCGCGCTGCAGCGGCTCGACGGCCTCGACGCGCGACTGCACGGCGACGGTGCCGCCCTCGTCCTCGAACAGGCCCCGCAGCGGGACCATGAGGCCGTGGACGTCGACGATGCCGTCTCCGCGATGCCAGGACCGCCGGCGCGCGCGCGCACGGCGGGCTCGAGACGCCGGGCCTCGGCGTCGGCGACCAGTGCAGGGGCGGGGCGTCATGGGCGTCGGCGTCGACGGACGCGTAGAGGCGCTCGAGGGCGGCGCGCTGGGCGTCGTTTCTGCGCGACGAGCCACTTGCCCGGTGCGGCGGTGGGCGACACGGTGGGCGGCGCAAAAGGCGTACAGCAGGCGGCGGCCGCGCGTGCAGAGGGCCGTCTTGAGCGTGCCGCGGCCGTAGTAGAGCCCCGCGTGGACGACCTCGCTGTTGCGCGACGACGTCTCGGTGCCCGGGTGCGCGTGGCGCTCGACGAGCAGCGTCGTGCTCGACGGGTGCGTGGCCGTCAGGTGGCGGGCTGTGGCGAGGCCGACGACGCCGGCGCCGATGACCTGGAGGGCGGGCGCACAGGGTGTTAGCTTGCAGAGACGCGAGGGACAGTCAATGGACGGGGGGCGAGGCGGACAATGTGGGTAAAGTCGGCGTCCCTGGGGACGGTCGAGGCAAAGCTGCGTCGTCTTCTCGTGTCGAGGCGCAGGCACTGGGTTACCCGCCGCGCTGCCGGGCGCAGAGACGTGGCCGAGGACATGGTTCGAGGTTTGTCTCCAGTTGGTGCGGGTTTTCGCTGCTGGACGGAAACTGAGGTGGTGAGTTGAACAAGTGATGTTGGCGTTGGAGGTGGGTATCGGCAGGATATCATTCATGCCGTTGCTGTTCGCTCCGGCCGCCCGCACTGGGTTCCGATTGCGGGCCGGCGTTTTCGTCGTGGCGTGACGCTACGGCAGCGGACGGCGGCGAGGTTAGAGGCTCGAGGCTAGAAGGGGTCCAGGTCTGAATTGTCGAGGCTTGAAGGAGGAGGCTTCGTAATCATCGCCTGATGCTTGCATACGTTGTATTGAAGCTTGCTTTCGTCGAGTTCCCGGTCTTTTGTCGTGGGCTCATGTGCGGCTGCATGCTGGATGGGCTGTGGATAGGGCACGCTTGCACGTCTCACCTTGGGTTGGAGGTACACTGAATATGTGCTTGCCAACACTGAATTCAATCTTGTCAATAAAGGATGGTCATTATTATGTGAGTAGATGGGCAGAGGTGAGCGTGCATCCATCCACGATCTATACCTTCTGTTCGTAGACCTCCTTGGAGTCTCTCGGGATCCTCACCCAGCTGAACTCTGTTGACTATTTTCATTCACGACCGCCTGCTCATCCTATCCTCTCACTTAACTATCTGCACAGCACTACTCGTCTACAAGTACTACTCTCATCTGCATCTAGGCATCTCCCACATCCACAGCAGAGCCGCCTCACCGTGGTAGTATTCCTCATTCATGTACAATCTGTGATAGCGTTCCTGATTCATGTACAATCTGTAATAGCATTACTTTAACCATGTACAATAGGTGATACTCGTCATACTACTGATCCAACACCCGCCTTACGCCGTATACCCATCCCCCCCCAAAACAAACACCAAAAAAAAAACACCCGTGTTATACAGCCTTGAGGCCCTTCACCCTCAACCCAATCATCGCATCGTCAGCTTGGGGCAGTATTTGCGCCCCTGCGTATCCACGTGAAACTCATAGATGCCATTCTCGGCGCCGACAAACCTGCAACGCCGTCAGCATAACCCACAAACGCGGTCTCTCCAAGTCAATGGCATGGACTCACAGTGTACGCCCGTCCTCACTCCACGAGATGCCCGCCGTGTTGTCCGGCTCCGGCGGGCTCTCGTGCACCGCGTGGTCGACGACGACGCGCCGCCGCGCCAGCCTCTCGTCCATCTCGCGCATGGCCACCGAATTGATGAAGGGCAGAAACGACGAGCGGTCGCGGTCGCGGTCTCGTTCGCGGTCCCGTTCTCTCTCCCTCTCGCGCTCGCGCTCCCTCTCGCGCTCCCGCTGTCTCTCGCGCTCCCTGTCGCGGGCCCGCTCCCGCTCCCTCTCCCGCTCCCGCTGCCGCTCCCGCTGCGTCGTCTCCGACTCTTCGGCCGCCGACCGCAGCGTCGCGAGGTTCGTCTCGAGCGAAATGTTGTACAGCGCCTTCGAGCTCGGCCCACCCGCCCGTCGCCGGGAGCACGGCCGTTCGCCGTGTTGACCGTCGCCGGCGTCAGTGTTATGGAAGAAACCGACGCCGCCGCCGCCGCCGTCACTCGATCGGACGGTGGCGCTCCGCCGCGCCGCCGCAAAAGAAGGGCGCGTCGTTCGCGATCCCGCTCGCTCGTG